TCTGGCCTGGGAAGGCCTTTCTATAGCTGAGCCCCCAGGGATGAAAAGAAGCCACATCTCTGGGGGAGAGCATTCTGTGTAGAGGGATAGTGAATTCTAAAGCCTGAGTGGGGAGAAGGCGTCCGTCCTTGGTGTTAGCGCTTAGAGAATAAGTGAAGGTGAGCTAGAGGGGAAATTAGGGTTAGTAAGCACCAGGGTTTCAACCTGAGCAGCATTTGGTTCAAAGTCTGGCTTTGCCCACCTACTCAGAACTGTGGCCATTTTCAGTAAGTTAATTTTAGTAGTGTGATTACACTCCAGGATTACAGGTGTGTGCCACCGTACCTGGCTTATATTCCGAACCATTTTCAGATGGGTAAATGGCAATCTAGAGCAATTAAATAATTTCCCCAGGGTCCCACAGCTAATCTTAGGAGATCCTTGGGACTTCAGCCCCAGTCATTTCCCCCTCTGATGTCATTAGATACTCCAATGTGCTGCTGTTTTTCTGTGGCAGAAAGTCTCAGTTTAGTTATGGCAGTGGGTCTGAACCTGAGGTAGGGCAAAATGGAACTTTAGGCTTGTGTGAAAATTAGGCAGCGTAGGAAATACAAAAACACTAGTCAGGAGTGTTCGTTGAGTCTAAATGGTTTTCATCAAATGTGTCACAGGACAGGGAGGAAACAACTCTTGATTTCTCCCAAGCCCACCCCAGACATGCCTTCTGTTGGCCGGTTTTGTCAGTCAACTTCAGCCCATTTCCCATCTGCCCATTAGGTGAAAGGAACAGATCTGGTACTGAGTTCTCCCAGAACCCCACCTAAAGAGATTCAGTGGGCCTCCTGGCTGTCTTACTCTTGGATTCTGTGTCTTATTGACCTCAGAAAGTCCTTTGGAGAAACATGTTTAAAGCATAAATCATTACGACAGCTGTGGAAGACAGTTTGGCAATGCATTTTACAATTTCGATGTCTTGACCTCTTGAAGTTCCTGTTAGTATTACTTTTTTTAAAAATATTTATTTATTTATTTATTATGTATACAATATTCTGTCTGTATGCCTGAAGGCCAGAAGAGGGCGCCAGACCTCTTTACAGATGGTTGTGAGCCACCATGTGGTTGTCGGGAATTGAACTCAGGACCTTTGGAAGAGCAGGCAATGNCAGAAGAGGGCGCCAGACCTCTTTACAGATGGTTGTGAGCCACCATGTGGTTGTCGGGAATTGAACTCAGGACCTTTGGAAGAGCAGGCAATGCTCTTAACCACTGAGCCATCTCTCCAGCCCCACTTTTTTTTTTTGTTTTTTTGAGACAGGGTTTCTCTGTGGCTTTGGAGCCTGTCCTGGAACTAGCTCTGTTCCAGGCTGGTCTCGAACTCACAGAGATCCGCCTGCCTCTGCCCCCCGAGTGCTGGGATTAAAGGCGTGCGCCACCATCGCCCGGCTCCTGTTAGTATTACTAATTCACTTCCACTGGACCAGCCTTTTGCCACCTTCTGAAATATTTACAAGGGTCTGGAGAAAGGGCTTAGAGGTTAAGAGTACTTGTTACTTCTGCAGAGGACCTGGGTTAGGTTCCCAGCACCCATCTCAAGTGGCTCACAACTGCTTGTAACTCTGGTTCTGGCCTCCAATGGTGCCTTCAAGTGCATGTGCATATATACATGTGTATATACTCAGACACTCACATACACACAATTAAAATTAAAAATAGGGGCTGGAGAGATGGGTCAGCAGGTAAGATACTTCTCTGCTCTTGCAGAGAACCTAAGTTTGACTCCCAGCGTATGGTGGCTCACAATTGTCTGTAATTTCTGTTCTAGGGGATTCATAACCTCTTCTGGCCTCTGCAGGTACCAGACATGGTACACAGATATACATGCAGGCAAAACTCCCATACTTGTAATATTAATAATGATAATAATACATTTTTAAAAATAAAAATATCTTTAAAACCGGTTCCCAACAGCTTGGATATGTATCTGCTACTTATAATGATAAAATCAAAATATTTATGATAAGAGAATTTTAGTTGATCCATATAATGTATTCTTTTTGTTTTGTCTTGTCAGTGTCTACTATGTAGCCCAGGCTGGCCTGAGATTCACTTTGTAGTTCCCACTGGCCTCTAATTGGGGAGCCTTGCAGACTAGGCTGTCTTGTAGACCAGGCTTGCCTCAAACTTACAGAGATTCATCTGCCTCTGTCTCCCGAGTGCTGGGATTAAAGACGTGCACCACCATCACCCAACAAAAGATGATATTTTGCTGCTGTTCCATTTCTGTCAATCATTCTTTCCCTATCTGTTGTCCTTTCTCATCATTTGTTCATCTGTTCAGTGCATAGTTGCTGAGTGCCTCTGACATTCCTAGCCTTTTTCTGATGCTGGTCTAGAGGGTGTAAATGAGGCATTGTGGCCTCTGCTCTCATGGGACTTACAAAGCTGTGTGCCTGTGTGCTTGGGCATACATGCGTGCACGTACACATGCACGTACATGCTTACATGTACAACAAAGCAAGAAGATATGTAGACAAACATGATCATGCTGTGCTGGGGTGGGTGGCCAGGCATATCTTGTGTATTTTAGTAGAGAAGCTTTGTTGAGGCCCTTTATGGCAAAAGCCGAATAATACTTAGATCATTCAAGACCTTCAGGTAAGAATGAGTTTGATGGCCGGGTGGTGGCATACGCCTTTAATCTCAGCACTCAGGAGGCAGAGGCAGGTAGACCTCGGGGAGTACAAGGCCAGCCTGGTCTACAAGAGCTAGTTCCAGGACAGGCTCCAAAGCTACAGAGAAACCCTGTTTCGAAAAACAAAACTAACTAACTAACTAAATAAATAAATAAATAAAAAATAATGAGTTTGATGAACCTGATCAGAGGAGGACTAAGGGCTCAGTCACTCAAGCATATAGTAATAGAAAACCCAAAATGTCAGTGAATTAGGCATACAAAAAGTTTCTTGAATTTGTACTGGCTAATTTTATGTTTATTTGGCACAAGCTATAGCTATCAGATTGGAGGAAGCCTCAGTTGAGAAGATGCCTCCATAAGTAATGGGCTGTGGGGCATTTTCTAAATTACTGATTGATGGGAGTGGACTCAGCCCATTATGGGTGGTGCCACCCCTGGGCTGGTGGTTCTGGGTTATTTAAGAAAGCTAGTCCTCTGCATCAGTTCCTGCCTCCAGGTTCCTGTCTCTGACTTAATCTAGTGATGAGTAGCAATGTGGAATTGTCAGTCAAATCTTTTTTCTCCCCAGTTTGCTTTTAGTCATGGTGTTTCATCACAGCAATAGTGACTCTAACTAGGACAGAACCTGAAGATGTAAACTATACCTCCAGGTTGAATCAGACAGAATGACAATGTGCACCTGTTGGTTATATCAGGGTGATGTCCAAGGGCTGTGGACTAAGGGGAAAGACTGAGATTCAAGCTCAGCTCAGTGGTCTCAACTGAGTCTCTCACTTCAGTGCCGTCTTCTGAAAGTTGGGGAAGAGGCCACCTCATGCCCGGGCAGGGCAAGGTTAACCACAGGTGCTGGTGAGTATAGAGTATCTTGATTTAGTGCATGAATGAGCAGGTAGGAGCTGCAGGGTGCATGGGTTCAAACGTGGCTGATCTCTATGGGAACCAGACATTAACGAGGAGGGGGTTATTTCTTTAGAGTGGGCTTATTGTTCTAATACAGGCTTTCTCGTGTGTCCTACTCAGACAGGTGGGACATCATTGCTGGATGTTTTCGGTGGAGTCTTTACAAGACTCTTTTTCTGGGGGGTGGGGATTGAAGCAGAGCTAGAGTCAGTTGAGAAAAGTTGGAGATTGATTTGTTTTGAGATTGTTTTCACTGTAGCCCAGGCTAACCTGAAGCTTACTGTCTAAATCTGAACTAACAGCAATACACTTGCTGCAGTCTTTTGAGTGCTGGGATTACAAGTATTCTTCTGACTGTTAAAGAAGTATGAAAATGAATTTAGGCATGACTATTGGGACCATTTATGAGAGAGAGAGAGAGAGAGAGAGAGAGAGAGAGAGAGAGAGAGAGAGAAGAGAGAAGAGAGAAGAGAGGAGAGAGATGTGCACTTAGGAAAAGGACAGCACATACTTGAGTTGTGGAGTCTTCTCAAGAGAGCTGCCTCCTGGCTTACTTTAGTTCACACTAATCCTGATCTTCTCATGGATGCCCATGATTAATTCCTATAGTTTTGTATCTCTTTGTTGTTGCACTGCCTTTCTGGCTAGATCATAAACTCCTTGAAAAGAATTATGCTTTATGCTCTTCTGTTCTACCACTGTGTTGACTATAGTGTCAGTAATTAATTTTTCTTTATAATATCATTATTATTTCACATGTATGGATTTTGCCTGCATGTAAATCTGCAGCACATGCATGCTTTGCCTATAGAGGCCAAAAGAGAGCTTCAGGCCCCTGGAACTGGAACCACATGATTGTGAGCCATAATGAGGGTGCTGGTGATTCCGCCCAGGTCCTCCGGAAGAACCACTGAGCTGTCTCTATCATCCCAGTTTGGTTGTTTATTTTGTTTTTTTGGGACAGGGTTTCTCTGTAGCTTTGGAGCCTGTCTTGGAACTAACTCTTATAGTTCAGGCTGGCCTCAAACTCACAGAGATCAGACTGGCTCTACCTCTCAAGTGCTTGGATTAAAGGCATGCGCCACCACCGCCTGGCGTTTATTTTTATTTTAAATTATGTGAATGTGCCTCTGTATGGGGGGGGGGGTATGTGCATGTGAGTGCAATATGAGTGGTGGCCAGTAGAGGGCATCCCATGGAGCTGGAGTTACAGGAGGTTGTAGGCTACCTGACTTGGGTATTTCCCAAAGTTGAGTGAGTATTCTGCAAGTGCGTTACATGCTTTTAACCATTAAGACATCTTTGTTACCCTCTCGCCTCCCAACCATGATTCTTTCCTGTTGAAAATATCATGTTTCCATTATTAAACATTGTGGCTTTTTGGTATGACAAGGCACTCACTGAGTTACAATGCTGTATTCTGTAGCCTGCAGGTTTCCCTAGATGATGAATAAGCATTCCTTCTGCCTGAAGAACATCGGTGAAAACCTTGACCATGGCATCGATATCAGAACCTGTAACATTCCGAGAATTCTGCCCTTTGTACTATCTCCTCAATGCCATTCCCACAAAGATCCAGAGGGGCTTTCGCTCTATTCTGGTCTACCTCACAGCCCTGGATGCCAACGGGGACTACATTGCGGTGGGCAGCAGCATCGGCATGCTCTACTTGTACTGTCGGCACCTCAACCAGATGAAGAAGTACAACTTTGAAGTAAGTCTTGTTTTCCTTTGCATCTGATTATGTGCCAGCCGTAGCTGCTGTTTCTCCACTGTGTTCTACCTGTGCTACATGGGGCACTTTACCTTTGACTTGCTGGCCTCCAGCTTCATACCTCACTCCAACTAAATATTGGTGTTTTTCTTTCCTCACCTCTGTCAGGGGCCAGCCTCGACAAAAATACCTTTCTTCCAAAGATGAGGCCTGCGAATTTAGAAATATAGTAAAGAATACAAAGACGTGTACAAAAATAATAAAACACAGAAACACACAGAATAGTATTGGGAGGGAATTTCAGTGACTACTGAAAATTCAACCGCGTTTAATATCCAACAGTTTAATATACCCCTAATTTCAAAAGGTAGGAGTAGAACAAAAGGACTTGCATTAACAGACAAATTGAAAGGCCTGAGGTACATTCCTCACTCCTGCCCTCGACTCCTCTGTTGGCAAACCACTCCCTGGGTGGAATCCCAAGTTATTTTCATAAAGGGAACAGAGCTTAGTTGGATCCTTAGACTTTTGTTTTAAGCTGGAACCAACTACTTCCCTGTTTCAGGAGCACTAGGTCTGGCAACTAGCCACACCTATTTACAATAGCCTTGAGAGAGCAGAACTCTTGATTTACAACTAGGTGGGACTTCTGTTTGAATTAGAAGCACAAAACAAGTCTCTCTGACCTTTGGCCTCTGTGGGCCCTCACAGACCTCTGTCTCTAAAAGTCTTTCCTCACTTTACAAGGACATTTAAATGTTTACCTATCACACCAGGCAGTGGTGGTACACACCTTTAGTCCCAGCACACACGAGGCAGAGGCAGGCAGATCTCTGAGTCTGAGGCCAGCTTGGTCTATGTAGTGAGTTCCAGGACAGCCAGGGCTACACCAAGAAACTCTTGAAAAACAAACAAACAGAACAATGTTTACCAATTGCTAACAAAGTTTGTTTCTCAGTGTTGTGCCCAGATTACGACCCCCAGAGAGAGACCACCAGAGAGGCCCAGACTGTAATAAGCAAGGTTTAATTAGCATAATACAAGCATGTTTGGAACCCATCTCTGACCCCACTGCAGTGAGGTAGAGAGGGGTTGTATATCCTCTGTGGGGTAAGTTTTTAAAGGTGTAACTACAAAGAGGCTTTTTGAAGCTGCTTTTGGCATGGGTGCAAGGTCTTTTGCTCTGTCCCATCCTGCTTCTTTATCACCAGGTGACTGGCTGGCTGGGCTAAGTGACACTGTGCTTGGAATCTCCCGGGTAGGAGTGGGCAAGGCCACTATCTTCCTAGGAAAACATTCTGCTAGGAAATTTCTTCTCGTCCCTTTGAGAATAAGGGGTGAGGGTCCCACACTCACTATCTAACTTAAATTCTACTCTCTTGAGATTATTCTGCAAAAGATTTATGGTAATCATTGACATAGTCCCAGACTATACACATCTTAAATAAAGTGACTTCTATACACAGAGCTCCTGATTCTCATATGTCGACTCAAGCATTTCTGAGTGCTGTATGGGTATGTGAATGGCCTGGTACAGCTGTCACCATTTAGTGAGCTTCTGTAGCTTACCAAGTACATAGCTTTAGTCTTAAAATAAAAACAAGCTGGGCGGTGGTGCCACAAGCCTTTAACCCCAGCATCCAGGATGCAGAGGCCAGCTCGATCTATAGAGTTAGTTCTAGGACAGCCAGGGTTATACAAAGGATTCCTGTCTCGAAAAACAAAACAAACAAGCAAACAAAAAAACCCCACAAAACAAAAACTCTCTATGTATATAGCCCTGGAACCCATGACCTTATGACTTATTCTGAGTTAAGATTCCAGGTGCCCTAAGTTATGCCTGGTGGATGATAGTAAGTGACGACACTGGCATTTGAACTTGGCAGACTCTCTAGTCTGAACTAATGTAGCTTAGCAGTGGCATGCTTGCCTAGATGCATACAAGCCACTGGGTTCAGTCCTCAGTACTGAAAACAACAATAGCAACAAAACTATTGTAGGGGCTAGAGAGATGGCCCAGCAGTTAAGACTTTTATAGAGGACCTGGGTTCGGTTTCCAGCACCCTCATAGTGACGCACAACCATCCCTAATTCTAGTTCCAGGGAATCTTCTGAACTCCCAAGAGCATCAGCCATGCATGTGGTACACATATGTATATATAAGCAAAACGCTTATACACATATGCATTATATAACTTAAAAAGAAAAATTGTTGCTCTTGTTGTTTTTAGTTAGGTAGGTAGGTGGTTCAAGATACCATCCTGATGTAGCCCAAACTAGCCTGGAATTCACCATGTAGCTTAAACTAGCCTCAAGCTTGTGATCCTCCTACGTCGGCCTCTTAAGTTCTGGGATTGTTGGCAAGCACCACCATGCCCATTTCCCATTGCTATTTACTTATTTATTTATTTGGTGGATAATATTTAACAGATTCGACTGCTCAAGTCCCCCAAACATTGAAGATAATCATATTTAATATTTAAACTATAATTACAAATTTAATATATCAAAAATTTCTCAAATCTTCAGTTAACAAGGAAGAGTTATGAATGAAAGATGAACCCTAGCAAAATAAACTGAAGTTACTGACAGAGACATAGAGCTTAAACTGCTAAGGATAAGAAAAACTCTTAGGCTGCACATGGTGGCACCGCATGTCGTTAATCCTAGCACTGGTGTGACAAAGGCAAGTGGATCTCTGTGAGTTCAAGGGCAACCTGTTCTACACAGCGAGTTCCAGGACAATCAGGCCTATTAGAGAGCCCCTGTCTCAAACAGAACAAACAAACAAAAACAAAACTCTTAAACATAACTAGAAAAAGTAGCCTATTACCTGTAGGGGATGGTGATTTGAATGACTGTACATTTCCCTTAGAAATCAGAAGACAGTAGCATATATTCTGAAAGAACTACCCAGCTGAGGATGGTAGCACACACTTGTCTCAGCTACATGAGAACCTGTGGTAACAGGATCACTTGAGTCCCCAAACAACACAGCAAGACCTCTCTTAAACAAAACTTCCAAGAATTTCCTAGCCTCGAAATGTCTGTTATAAACAAGAGATATCTGGGTGTCATAGCTCACACCTGGAATCCTAGTACTTGACAAGCTAGACAGGCAGATTGCTGTGATTTTAAGGTTAACCTGGACTACTGAGTGAGACCCTCTCTCAGAAAAACCAAGGTAAAAACCCGTGATCCTAGCTTTCAGAGGCTGAGGTAGCCTCCTGAGATTGTGAGTGAGGCCAGCCAGTTCTACACAGCAGTTCAGGCCTGCCAGAGTTTTATACAACAAATAATTAAACACATAGAAGAGAAGGAAAAGGAGGGATGGGAAGCAAAGTTTTCTTAGTTAAAGGAAAACAGAATATTGATTTTCAATATCTGCTCTGAAGTTATTGTTTAAGGAAATCCTTCAGAGGGAACAGCATCAGGAATGAAAGAACAGTTAGAGTAAATTCTTTTTTTTTTTAAAGATTTATTTATTTATTATGTATACAACATTCTGCCTCCATGTATGCCCACACGTCAGAGGAGGGCGCCAGATCTCAGTACAGATGGTTGTGAGCCACCATGTGGTTGCTGGGAATTGAACTCAGGACCTCTGGAAGAGCAGCCAGTGCTCTTAACCTCTGAGCCACCTCTCCAGCCCCTAGAGTAAATTCTTAAGGAAATAAAATGCCCAGGTTATTTTTTCTATATTGAGTTCTTTAAGATATATTTGACAGTTGAAATCGATGTATGTAGATAAGTCATATGAAAGACAGTTATAACATGAGTGGGGTGCTATATGGTGCTAAGGATCATATATTCTGTTTGCAGAGGTGAAAAGTATATGTGAGTTAGGGATGCAGCTCAGTGTGGTAGAGCACATGCTTACTAAGTACAAGCCTATGCACCCCCGGGTTAAATATGCATATTTATTTACTACATATACAAGTATTTAAGTGCAAATGATTCAAATATATCTAAAAGACAGAAATTGTCAGAGCAAATTCACAAAAAGATGAAGGCAAAGCATAGAAGAATGTGCCTGTTACTTTGTGTGATGTGTGTGTGTGTGTGTGTGTGTGTGTGTGTGTGTATGTGTTTGATCCCTGAAGCTCATTGGCCAGCCAGAGGTTCAGTTTCAGTGAGAGACCCTGCTGAAAACAAAGATGATGAACTGGGAGTATGATCCTCAGGTAAAGGCACTTGCTGCTTGGAACCCGTGTAGTGGAAGGAGAGAATCAGTTTCTACAGTTTGTCCTTGGACCTCTACATGTGTACATAGGATGTGCTTATTCACACACACAAAATAAACAAGTAAATGTAAAGCAATTTTTAAAGCAATTGAAGAAAGACACCCAACATCAACCTCTGAGGCTCTACATGCATGCACACACATGTTCATGTGTACTCACATGTACACATCTATACTAACAGGTACATACACCACGCACAATACAACACATACATACCATGCCATACTCAAACAGAAAGAGTGAAATAAATATAGCACTAGACAGAAATTCAATTAAAATGCAATGGTACAAAGTAAGTTAAAAGTAACAGGATAGGGCTGGGGCGATAGCCTAGTTGGGGAAGTACTTGCTGCACAAAGCAGGAGGATTCAAATTCAGATCTACAGCACTACACAAAAAAGCCTCCAGTTCCAGCACTGAGGGCCAGAGATAGAGGGATTCTGGGGGCTTATTGACCAGCCGGACAGTCTAGCTGAAAAGGTGAGCTCCAAGATCAGCTAGAGATCCTGTCTTAGAAAATGAGTTAAAGGGGCTGGAGAGATGGCTCATCCGTTAAGAGCACCGGATGCTTATCCAGAGGACCTGGGTTCAATTCTCAGCACCCACATGGCAACTCACAACTGCCTGTAAACTCCACTTCCTCAGGATCTCACATCTTCACACCAATGCACATAAAATAAAGTTAAGGTAAAAATTGTTAAAAAAAAAAAAAAAAAGAAAAAGAAAAGTAAAGAAAATAGGTTAAAGAGTGTACTG